TGGTTTTGCAGAAGACTGGATCTTCGAAGAGCTATGGGGAAGTCCCATGGTCATATTCGGAATCAGCATGGTCGATAACCTATAACCCACTAGATGTCGATCACAAAGCGATTTATCACCTCGGGAGGTTCCCTCGTTTCGTTAGTTGAACTTTTGTCATTGCACTGTCATTTTTTTTAGATCATGGACTAAATAAAACTGATTGATTGACTGAATTTTTCTCACTTTTTAAAAATCGGTGAAACTAATATGACTTTAACACGCTCTACTTGTGAATGATTTTTCTAAAACCGTTTTAATTAACTGTTTAAACTGTTTAATTAATAAAAACATCAAATTTTCCATACTCTTTCTCACTCAGTTCATAACCTCGATAGCAGAAAAAAAGAAAAGCTTTATTTCTTTCCGTAGGACATCAGACAACGACTGGAAGAATCTATTTTTTATCTTGAACATCACTTACCCTAGTTTTCATCTCTCAATAGGTATTTCAGAAAGTAATTTTTCAAGTGAGTGAGAGAAAGAAAAAATTCCAAAAGTGAATGAAATATATCCAGTTTACGCCACATACACCATCGTCATGTGATTGCCTTTGTTTTTAAGAACTGTTGTACAATTATTGGAATTCACATGATGTTAAAAATGACTGTTAGTCAAGACATAAATACATTTTTAGTAGAAAGTGATGACTTTTGTATGCACACTTGATGGTATTCTCTCGTATAAAACCAATTACAAAAACCTAAACTGATCTCACTTATCGCCTATAATACGAAACATATTTACCGAAAATATTAACAGGAAACAATAAATTGTTTTCATTTAATCTTGATATACGTGGACCATTATGTTGAGATGAAATCAATGTATCACCACAAATTTCATATTGTTCACAATCAATTATTCGTCCATGTCTTAAACAATCAATAATCCAACGATAACAAACAATGTTGAGATGACGTGTTATAGCTCGAACAACATTTTTTGTTAATGTACAGACTAATGGTTGCATATCAAGTTCATCTGTTATCAAATGTGTTGTTGTCTCATTAATAATATCGGATATTGGCCTGGATATTTTAAATTGTCGAAGAAATTGTTCAATTTTTGACTAAATAAGAATAAGAATTAACAGATCTACAATACATGTCAATATATTCCAACATTTAAATACTCACTATTTGTTCAGCATTTAGATTGCTTATTGATATGACCATTTGTTGTTGTTGTTCAACTTTTGTATCTACTTTATCATGATTAACTACTTTTGTTCTTGTTGAATGACCTGACAATCGATCACCAAACATATCAACAATCTTTTGAGGAGACAAATCAAGTTCTTCTACAAGCATATTATAAAATTCTCTTAAACATCATCTTCATATATTATCCGATATCGACTTACGTTTTGAATGTGAACTGCCAGCTTTAGACAACATTTCAAATTCGTTGTCTTCTAAGTAATGAAAAAATATAAATAGTATAGTTTGTAGCAGAGTAGTAACAAACTTACCATCACTAACATCAATTTCCTCATTGCAGTCATTCCAACCGCATTCAGCTGGTGCCGATTTAACAACTGGTAATAAACTGATCATTTCTAAAAGCAAAACCCAATATTTTTTTGGGGGAGGTGTTATAAATTCAATTCATTGAAAGAATGAAACAAAAAAAATGATATGGTCAAGGAAGAAACAGATATTGTCAAGAAAAGACATTAAAAAACTGAGGCGACATTTCTGAAATATATAATGTCTGTTCAAGAAACAAAAGAACAAATGAGTTGATTAAGGTTAAATGGCGCTTACGAGGAAACTCTCTGAGGTGTCCAGCTCAGTTTTCTTGCGCTCATATGCCAATCGATAGTCTATATCGAGGTAGTAAAAAGCCTAAAAGTGTTCGTGCCCATGGCTCTTGAAGATCCGGTTTTCTGGAAAACCAGTTTTTCAAGAACTCTAAAAAATAACCAAAACCTTTATCTTAATAAAGCATGATTGTAGTGCACAAATTTTTGATTAAAATGAGACATCTTTCAGCTCTGCATAACCTTTCTTTGCAAACTTATAGAATTTACAAGAAAAGCCCTAAATTAATTAATTCTTATTTCTTAGCTTTGAGCTGACAATGAACATCCAGGGCTTTTCTTGTAAATTCTATAACTTTGCAAAGAAAGGTTATGCAGAGCTGGAAGATGTCTCATTTTAATCAAAAATTTGTGCGCTACAACCATGCTTTATTAAGAAAAGGTTTTGGTTATTTTTTAGAGTTCTTGAAAAACTGGTTTTTCAGAAAACCGGATCTTCAAAAACCATGAGCACGAACACTTTTAGGCTTTTTACTACCTCGATATATATTATCGATTGGGCATATGAGCGCAAGAAAACTGAGTTGGACACCTTAGAGGGTTTCCTCGTTAGTTAGTGATTCATTTATATTTATTTAGCCAGAAATTTTGTCTAAATAAAATTAGAATATTGTTACCTTCGTGATCATGATCTCCTACACGACGATTGATCAATGATGTTGCTTGAGTTTTATTGCTCTTTTCTTTATAACGTTCAAAACTAAACCAATTGCCAACTTGTGTACTTGTCATATTTGCTTTTTTGGCCAGTATTTTTTTTTCATTCGATGTTGGATATGGATTTGTAATATGTTTTTCATACCATTCTTTCAATGGTTCTAAATAAAACTTTCAAACATAGTATTCACTAATGTGAACTAATAAAAGAATTTATCGTACAAGAAATTGAAAAACTACATACATACCATAATTACGATGTTCGATTATTGCCTTTTTAGAACGATTTGATTTTGGATAATATTCTTCTTCTTCATCTTCATTTTGTTTTTCACTACGGATCATTAGGTGATTAGATGAATTGGATCTTTTTCGTTTTTCTTGTCGTTGTGTATGAGAACGATATTTGGAAGATGGTGGTGATTGAGTAACAACAGTTTTTTTACGTTCTGTAAAATGTGTACCGCATAAATTTAAACCATTTGATTGAATATATTTGTCACAAGTTGATATTGAACATAGACGATTCCATGCTTTTCCACTATATTTGTAACGTGCACCATTTCCAGACAATCTTACATCACCTTTGATTGATCTATCAGTGCTAGTTATATCATTTATTTTCTCAATTGTTTTTGTTGTTGTAACAAGTGAATTAGGTGTTTCATTCATCATACCATAAATAAGCTGACTATAGGTAGGTAAGCCAAGTGAATCTTCCATTATCTAGAATAAAACAATAAAATCATAATTTAAAAGAATCGACGACTATCTGTGATTACAGCGAGATAATCAGAAGATAGACACGAAAAAGCACACGTTCGATAGAGAGCAAGAAAACAGATAAAAGGTTAATATCTTTTGTATTATTATTGCTAGTTATTCATCAGTCCATATTCCGAGCATGCCAATTTAAGCATTTTAAAACGTTTTGTATTTGATATTGAATAAAGTTAATCATTTATCTCCTTTATATTCAATACATTATCATCTAAACACGAAGCAAATGTTATTTTTATGTATATTTTCTGGTATCGATAATCATGGCATTTTACAGAAAACATTTATTCAAATAACAGTTACATTCGAGAAAAAAAACTAAAGCCGTTAATTTTGACAAATAAATATAATTCGATACAGAGTTATTATAATGCATATTGTGATCCATATTTGCTAATGGTAAGTGATTGACTACTAAACATAAAAATTGATCACTGTAAAGAAAAAAACAAAAAAAAAATTATAAAATTTAATACAGAGACAATGTTGCCAGCAGCTAGCTGTTGAGTTGTTTTAGTGATATATGTGAAAACATCTATGTATTGCTTATAGCTTAGAAAATGCGGTCATACTCTTTTTTAGTTTTAATTTGACAAAAAAGGAGTTCGATTTTTCATTGGAAGAAATTTTACATAAACTCTACACCGTTCATTCATCATGAACAACAAAAGTAGTATTTATGCTAACAAAATCAGAGTTCACAAATTTTTCCACAATTTTGGATAATTAAATGCTTTTTACGGGAAATACTTATCCAACATTATCGGTCATTTACAAGTATTTTTCACAATTCTAGATATAAATCATAAATATTCTGATTTAGTTAACTAACTAGAAGGTGAGAATCAAAACATTACTTATGAAACATCATTTCAGACTGACAAAACGATTTCTCTGTCCATCAAATGTAAATTTTTAGCCTCGAAGAGTTCAAAGTTCTATATCAATAAAGAAATTCAAGAAGAGAAAAACAATTACATAATTAATGAATTAAATTATCTAATGAGCATAGCGTCAACTTTTATCTCATTTAAAACGATTATTCATCATAAAAGAAGATTCTCTTCGGTCAATTACTAGATATTTTGATAATTTCATCTAATGTCGTCTATATTTTCTAGATCATATAGTTTAGAAACAAGTTCTTATGACAAATAGAACACTGCATAGACGAAAACACATCTATTATCACTATATGTAAAAAATAATATAACATTAAAATTACATTCATAATAATATTTATTTCAATAAATATTTAATACTACAAATGAATTCATTTATTGAAACTAAATTAAATTTTGGGAAATAATAGCAATTATCATTTTTGACCATCAATAAATCGTTTACTATCAATCTACAAAAATCGTACTGATGAAAAGGATAATGATGCAAGATTTGTACATCTTTTCAAATAAATTTTTCAAATATTCAGACATTTCAAATTGAATATAAAATAATTTCTGAACTTTTATAATTATTGAGTGAATATTTACAGTCAGAGATATGAACATTACATATTTTAAATTTTGCTAAAAAATATCGAATTAGAACACAGAAGTTTTTATATTTTTCATTAATAAGACTGTTGACATTTGCTTCTTTATTCATTTTACACTATTGTTAATTATAGAAAATTAATGATAGTAAACCAAGCGATATACTGAGATGTTGTCGTTTATCAAGCTATAAAAGTTAATATGCCATTGTGCTTTTCAAGTTTATTATAATCGCCGAACTACACTCTTACATCGACATGTACTTCACTACGATTTACATTTCTAATGAAATGACAGCAACTTTTAAACGAGATAATAAAATAATATGAGAATATTGCTTTAATGTTTCTGCTGGCGGTATCGATTTACGCTAAAGTAAACAGTTCACTCACAAAATTATAACGGAAGTAGCGGTGCAAAAAAAAGCGATGCTTTTAATATTTAATCATGTACATTTCAATAAGATACATCCATCTATAGTTTAATCAAGTCTTTAAGCTTTCTTGTCAACATTTTCTTTCAAATCGATGTATAAACGATGAGTTTAACAACGCTGTTTAATCTTGCATTCAGACGAACGAATGAAGAGGTATTTCTTGAGCAAAATCGGCATCATGATTTATCTAAAACGTAATGCATCAGCGTAGTTATTAGTGTAGAATTAGGAATGCATACAGCGTACGTATATAAAAACTCTTCTGATTATACCGAGAGAAGACGAAGAAAACGCATCATTCACAGGTCGTTAGTATATAAGTCAAAAGAAAGATGATCCGTACGAAACATTCGTACAGTTGCAGTTTGAAGTCAAAAAACGAAGAATGACAGCAGATGGTTTTACAGATATCCCGCACAATTTTTTTTTCTGTTCTCAAATTTGATTGTACTAAAAATTAACTAATCGCAATAAACTTGAGCAAGATGAATGTACCGTGCACTAGTGGGTTTTCTATCATATAAATTTTAACTAAAGCAATGTATCTATGTATAGAATGACTGCGTACTAAAGTTCTGCATAGTGTGCACATGTGCAGAACGAGGTTTAATCATGTTCGATTGTAATAACAACAGAATAAAAATAGATGGCGTTTAGGGTGGAGAGTGTCGGAAAAGAAGAAAGTTAAACTAAAATTTTGACGAAGCACGATACGAGATTTGAAAATATAAGTGAAAAAATCATTGTCTCTGACGACAAATGGTAATATATAATTATAGTCGAATAAGTAGGTCTTCCTTACCAAAACGTAAAGAAAGAGAAGTTATTTATGCCTTGTCTTTTATATTGAATAGATGCTATTTACAGAACAACGATTTCTTCGAAAAATATTTAGAATTTTATCATTCTTCACATATTGAATCAGACCTTTTTCATAATTGCATTGCTATTAAAATATAATAGTTCAATTCATTGATCTTAAAATAAAATGGATGTTTTTCAAAGTGTGTTCAGATATAATCAGCATGTTTCATAGAATGGCAGTAACTCTCTCTAGCCAACAATTTTTAAAACTCAGCAAAAAATATAAGTATATAGGAACATCCGGTTAAAAAAGGTTAAAGGAAAAATAAAAAATCAGCCATCTTTTATGTCAGGATATTGCGATGAAAACATCTCGTTTATTTTGAATCTCAAACTAACTAGGACATTTCTAACACTTAATAGTCTTGCCTGATAGACTTTAGAAAATTGGAAACTTCTCTGGCTAGTAGCAAATACTTTCCGAATATTTATTCACAGAGAGTGAGAGTCATCAATGGCTCATGCTAAACAAGCAAGCAGAATCACTGAATAGCGATGGAAGAAAATCTGTAGGATACATCAGCCAAATACATGGAGAGCACCTTAACAAAAACAATAAAAATAATACGGAATGGAATCGATGAAGTGCTTGGCTAAAAATGTCTGGAAAAAATATTCGCACCTCGGATATTTCACATAAGTGCAGAATCTACCCATAAGAATGAAAAACTTCTGTTAAAGTTTTTCTGAAAAATTTCCCCAAATCAAAAAGATTTCCTTATACGGTCGTCCGAGACGATGAGTATATTCTGCACCTCGGATATTTCATGATATTGTGAATGAGGTGTCTTATATAAGACATAGTTTGAAAAAACATTTTGACCCCTAAAATCGGAATAAGTTAGTTTCGTGAAAATCGCGTAGTCTTCTGATATATTTACTAAATAATATGATGCTCAGATTTCAATACTTTCTTATACGGATATATGCGGTCGACAGACAAGATGTCTGAAAGTTTTCTGTTTTATTCTAGTGTTCTGAAAGTCAGTCCGGTCTCACGAGCGATATTCCGTTCGGAATATATCCTATATCCTGAACGGGATATCACAGAAAATTTATATTCTGATCGGGATATTTCTGCAAAACATTTTGGAAAAAATCATTACCGCAAAAATCGTGACGTTATTGCAGAAAAGCGAATATAGCATGAGAAAACGGATGAAAAACTGAGTCGGAATCAAAGGTGCTCTAGTCTTGGTTTAAGGGTCTACCGTTCATGATTTTTTAAGTTCTAGTGCGGATATACAAAACAGTCTAATCGGGATATATATCCCGTTCGGGCTGTAAGACCGGACTGACCGTATCTAGATATGCCTTTAGTATACCATATCCCATTCGGGATATAAAAATATATCCAGAAGAGGGTATATATTCTAGATATACATCCTGATCAGAATATCATAGCCGGATCAGGATATATTTTTATATCCCGAATTGGATATATCCTCATTGGGATATATATCTTGTTCAGGCTATGAGACCGGACTGAAAGTTAATAAGTTTTAATCTTTACTTCGCATATGCAAACGCTTAAGAAAAAGACTCTAAAGATGTTGTCACGATTATTTGTGATTATAATTATCTCGAACCACATGTATAAGACAAAATGGCTGTTTTATTGCATTTCAATGAAGTTGAAGAATTGTTTTTCGATCAAGACGTTTTTGCTTTACTAGTTAATTTTTGTAGGCAAGCCTTTGATCGGAAGAAAATAGTAGGCCAAGAAGTTGAAGTATTGGTGACATACTGAGATTGGACAAGAAGACTCGAACACCTGAAACACGCTCTTGAAAACTCGTTGACTATAAACGCGTGTAACTTGCGAACGAAGTTTGACTTCTACCTGAAAAATATCATCACTACAAGGCACTCTGTGCCATAACACTCGTCTTTACATTAGTTCCTGACCCAATCGCCATACAACTCTGCTAGAAACGGCGCTGGATCAGTATTTAGGGATGTCCCACAGGATTCGAAAGAACTCGTTCCTTCTCGTCCGCTCTCGCTCTTCAAATCTGTACAAGGCCGATATCAAGCACTGATCAAAAGTATATCACACACCCAGAAAGATACTGCAAATCAATCTTATAACTTGACGTGCGTATAGTGTACTAGACTTCGTATTTGACTGCTGATCGTTCACTGGACGTATCTGCACCAAATGAAAGAGAAAGTATTTTTCATCTACCGTTAGACAGCTCTTTATTTAGCTATCAACCAAGCGTCCGTACAACCACTGGTTAAACACTAATGGAAACCGAATAATTTCCAGGCCATATCTGAAATTCATGATTTGGCTCCCAAAACAGTGTTTGGACTCTTGCTAAGTCGACAAATACTTCTCTTCCAAGTTTAGTTACAAACTGTCAGAATGCTGATCATGGCTGACCATACGAAAGTCAGTGCTAACTACTGAAAACTCTTGTTGATGTGAAGCTATAAAGAGACACTCGTCTTTATGTGGTTGATATTAGCTTCGAGGCAAAATACATAAAGTATCCATACTTCAACAAAATTTCGAAAACTATTTTTAAACGTCTCTCTCGTGTGTAATTGATTGAGCATAGCATATCTCCATACTGTTTTCATTTCTTCTTTCTCTGATAACATTAACAGTACTAAACTGTTACAAAATGTTGAATACATCGAATAGTTCATTATACGTTCTTTTTTATACATTTTAAAGCGCACATGTGGCGAAAGCCGCTTGCGCAGTTGTTCTTTTTTCTTTTTCAATAAAAAGCTTAAATAAAAAAAAAGAAATACATCGAATATTTCTACGTCCATGACTCAGCTGGTTCTTACTTCTAAGGAATTTCACAATACTGTTTCATGCACGATCAACTTTCTGTTCAAGGTTTGCTTACCTTTCTTGTTTCTCAGAATGAAATATTGATTAAGCTGCAACTATTTTTTATTAAAAATAATGTTTTTGTAAATCCTGATTGATTTTAACAATTATCTACTTCTTAAGGGATACAATCAGTGTAGAAGTATACAAAAAAAAAAGATAATAAACAAATGACTAAAAAATATGTAAAAAATTAATAACCGAACACTTTAGCAAAAAATTAATAAACCGTAAATAAATAATAAATACAAGACACAAGTGAAGATCTGACACTAGATACCGATGGTGTATAGAAAACGAAAAAAATGTTTTCAGTCAAAACAAGTGAGAAAAAATACTTTAGCACATATCTGAGCACCTAGAAATGATTAACGACATACACAAGTATATAAAAACAGTATAATTTTGACCTAAACCTGAAGAAAAACAACAAAGAAAACATGACTAATAACGAGTTGTTTAACTATACACATTACTATTTATATCAAACTTTGGAAGAGTATTGAGTTTCAACAATGACCATTTCTTCAATATGAAACTAACTGACTATCGGCCGTAAAACAGTTTTCATTCTAACCAACTCATATAAGCTTTTTTTCTACAGCATACAATCAATAAATCGAAAAATACTATTTACCTATATCAAACTCAATGTTTACCTATTCAGTAAAAAAAGAAGTTATGCTGTGTTTCTGAAGTCGTTAGAAAAATCACCATTTTAATAAGATACTTTTAGTTTTAAAACCAAGAATCATAACATAATTAGTACACAATTACTTTTTGTTTGAGAGACAAATTGCATTTTTCTTCATTTTTCTCTGTCATGACATCTTTTTTTTTAAAGCGCAAAGAAATCATCTGACGTTGAATAGTAGATATTTCCATTTCAATAAACGAAAATAAAAATAGATATCTTGATTCAAAACAGTATCTCTATACATGAGCTAGCACTTTCCTAGTAAAAGATGTTAATTCACCGAGTATTAGAAGAGTGTCCAAACTTGCTATGTCCAAATATTCAAACATTTTTCTCATGTCTATCTTAAAATAAAAAATACCATGATCTGTATATAAATATAAAGATACCTTTTATCATTTTATATGTAGACACTCTGTTACATACTGATATTATAAGAAGAAAAAAAAAAAAAATGAGAAAACCACAAACGTGCGCACATTCATTTAAAAAAATAACAAAGAAAAAGTAAGATATGATGATCAAAACAAAAAGCAAAAAAAAAGCAAAAAATGATTTGTCTTTATGTACAGAACAAGCTCTGTCAGTCTATAGGAAACACCGAGCAGGAAGCACTAAAAAAATATATGTACATAGTAAATAGAAAGATTGAAAGACGCACACACATATATAGTTAGAAAAAACTGAAACTGTAGTCTATTTTAATGGATCAAAATCTTTAAATCCATTTGTTGTTGGTGTTGTTAATATTTGTTTAGATCGTAATGGACTATTTGTAAAACATGTATTTGTATAACATGAATTTGTTATCGTTGTTGGTATTGGCACAAATATAGGTACTTGTGATTTTGTAGGTGAACAAGAACATGATGAACATGATGATGATGATTTAGAATTATGTCTTGAATTAATTAAATGTTTTTGTTGTGAATAATCTTCACTATTTGTACGATCGGAAACATAATCGTATATATAATGATGAGTATGTGAACTATTGTCCGTTTTCAAACTATTATTATCAGGAATTATTTCAGGTGTTGGCTCAAAATAATGTTGTTCATTATTATTATTATTAGTATTATTATTATTATTATTATGTGTATTATTTGTTCGATAAAAATGTTTTTTTGATGATGAACGAGACGAAGAAGATGAGGCTGTTGTTGATGAGTAAGATTGTGTTAACGGGTGATGTTGTTCAAATGACATTCTCTTCTCGTCTGACATCTAAAATACAAAGAAAAGTAAAGGAAAAAAAAACTTTAGAAAATTGTTTTCAAATAAAATTTTTACTTGTGGTTTAGAAGAATCATTGCTATTATTTGGCGATTGTGGTGAATGAACTGAAAATGTTTTTGTATTATTATGTTGATTATTATTTTCTTGTTGATGAATCCATGATGATGATGTTGCTGTGGTATCTAATGTTTCTGTTCGACAGTTAAATGTAGCTGTTGTTTCAGATATCGATTCGGATGACATTTCCTTGTGACCACTATCAGGTGAATCACTTTGCTGTTGTACTGATGGAATAGATAATGGGGATGCTTTTAATGTCGAAAATAATGGAATTAGTAAATCGGTGGGACGTTGATGCTTTGCGGATACCAGTGGTGGCATAAGATCAGATTTCGAAAGCTAGATAAGAATAAAATGAACTTTAGAAAATGTGACATACACAAATGAATTCATGGAAACAAATTTTTGAACTTTTGAAAAAATACTCTAAAAATCATCTTGGCAAAAACTGAACTTCTTCAAAAAAATCCATTGATACATGTTCGTACACGGAGTCAAGTGCGTTCTTCAAAATAGGAGCCCTTCCAACTTCCAGAAAGTCTTCTTGTAAAAATAATATGCAATTTCACATGGAAGGAAGTCAGAAAACCTACTATAAATCAAAATTTTACGATTAATTTAATTATAGTGGGTGACAGAACATTTTTATAAAGCGATGACGACTGTAGCTAAACAATAGAATAACAAGTCTTTATTTTTTTATCATATAATGTAATTATGGATCTTGTTATAGGATGAAAATATTAGTGAGTTTAAATAATTTTGAGTTGAATTGTAAACAATAAGATAAAACAAAGTTTTAGACAAACTTCTTTTGATACGCATCTTACTTTCACTGAGTCGAACATTTTCTATCCTGAATCTCCTCTAATTCGAAGAGATATCATTACGGTGATGACGAGATACTTTATTTCACTTCTGTTGAAGGTGCCTCCCGCTCTCGATTTCTTACTCGAAATTTAAATCGTACAGTTTCGATGAAATATTCGGATAGAGCTCGAGTAGAGGTGAACAACAGCAAAAATTGATAATTATTGCATGCATTTTGTTTGCTGTGTGCGTAAGAAAGTGAGATGTAGTTCCAAGATCGAACGACCAACTACCTACTAGAGGTGGGCGATGGACTATCTTTAACTCTCTCTCGGAAATCGTCTCGCAAACTTCCTGCCTCGTCATCATCCCGTGTCTCGCTCAGTTTTGACCAAATGTACTTTTCAGGGAGCGCCCCGTAAGCTTTCTACTCCGTCGCCGTCTCGTCCACTGTCAACTCTTGATAAAATTTTCCTCTAGCACTTCCTCATCGATCCTCCTGAGTCTGGAAAATCTTTGCTAACACCAGCTACTCATTGTTTCATCTTGATTCACAAGAAGAATCATCACCATTATTAAAAAATAGATCAAAACAAACATAACATCTTTCGCTTACACGAAAAAATGTCTCTCGCGAGATTCGTGTCGTGAAGTTTTTGCCTGTGTAGAAAAAACATTTCAGCCCAAAATATCACTTGGTGATTAAGAAATAGCTAAAATCACGAAATGAGTATGAACGATACATTATCGATACAAACGTTCCATCTGTGAGTCATATTGGACCTCTGAATATATGATAAGACCAAAAACTGCAGAATCACTCGGAGTCTTTCAATCTACTCACTTTTAAACTATCAAATAGATCATTATTTGTTGTATAACCCAATTTCACCTCTAGTTCATGTGTATAAACAATTAACTGCTGAATATGTGCCAACAATGCACGATTTTGTGTCAGTAATTGAGAGCTCTTATTCTAAAAGATAAAGACTTAATAAATTTGAGCATTAGATCATTTTTTAAAAAACGAACCTGTGCATCAATTCTCGCTGTTTGTTCTATCATTAATTGTTCTTTAACTAATTTAGCCTGTGTTAAAGTTAATTCCCTTTCGTTATGCATATGATCTAATTGTTCATTTAAATATTGAATATGATGTTTTAAACTAACATTCGACGGTTGAGAAAAAATTGGCGTATTGGCATCGATTGACTAGTAAACAAGAGAATATGTTTATCTACTTACTAAGAAGACATAAGTGTTAAAGGTTATCTTACTGGAATATGTACACTTTGTAAATAACGTTCTGCCTTTTCCATCGGATCCATATTTGGAGCTAAATTTTCTCGTTCAAGTTTACTTGATTTACCTAAAATAATAGCAGACATAAGTCATCAAAACCAAGAAATCAAAGCAGCTCTACACAAATAATGCAATTGTTGTCTCTTTTATCGTTGAACATGAAAAATATTTTGTCATACTTCACACACATTCTCTCTTTTCATTTGTTGTGAGATAACTTTAAAAAAAATTGAGCTTTTTCGAGCACAGAATGAACTTATTTTTTTATAGCCACTGCAATTGCTCATGTAATTATGAGTAGATGTAAGAAGATTCTAACTATATGGCTAATCTAAAGGAAATTTCAACTTACCACAAAACATACCATCATTGTCGTTATTATTATTATTGTTGTTATTATTATTATCGCACAATGACGTTCTGTTGGAGACAAACTGTTTTTGAGTAGTTGCTCCGTTACTATTGTTGTTGTCATTATTATTACTATTATTATTTGTTGTCTGTTTTTGTTGAATGGCCAACTTGTGGCAAACTTCAAATGCTTGACCAATTGTTCGAACGATGCGCATCGCTTGATTCTAAATAATAAACAAATTGATCACATTACCTGACGCAAAGATATCTGAATAAAGAGGTGTCTAATGATAAATGAGAAATACTTTCTCTTTCATTTAGTGGAGATACATCCAGTTAAAGATAACAGTCAAGTACACTAGTACGCACGTCAAGCTATAAGATTGATTTGCAGTATCTTTCTGGGTGTGTGATATACTTTTGATCAGTGCTTGATATCGGCCTTGTACAGATTCGAAGAGAGAGAGTGGACGAGAAGGAAGAAGTTCTTTCGAATCCTGTGCGACATCCCCAAATACTGATCCAGCACCGTTCCCAGCAGAGTTAGAGAGCGATCGGTTTAGGAACTAATATAAAGACGGGTGTTGCGGCACAGAGTACATTGTAGTGATGATATTTTTCAAGTAGAAATCAAACTTCGTTCGCAAGTTACACGCGTTTATAGTCAACGGATTTTCAAGATGGCGTGTTTCAGGTGTTCGAGGCTTCTTGTACAATCTTAGTATGTCACCAATACTTCAACTTTTTGATCTACTATTTTTAGTATTCGGCGTGTACTATTTGTAACTTGATAGGAAGTATCAATTGGAGAAACAAAAGTTTGTTAAAGATCTAATTGAAAGAATGAAAGTCGTCGAAATCAAAGATTATTATAAGTCTCATTTAGTGCTTTGAAGACTCTTATTTTAGACATTTTATAAGCACTAGTAGATCATAAGAAAAATGTCTAGTGTATGTTCGAAGTTTTTGCGTTTCTCAGAACAAACAGGAAACACGTTAATCAGATAGAATAAGAATCAAACGGAGCGCACTAGTCCATAACTAGTATTATTTTTTCGACTGAACTATGAGATGAGTATCAAAGTATTTTATTGACGATATGATAGATCACTACTTTTCCCCAAAACACTCTAAGCTAGTTTTTGTACCAATACAGTTGATAATGAAATTTGAAGTAGCTAAAATACGTGCTTTTATCATAAAATATAAAAATCTTACTTGTAAATGATCGTCATTGTCCGATGCATCCCATCTAGTCTTTTCATTACTATCATCAATGGTATAATTACTGTTGAAAGATATAGATGACAGAGTGTCATCGGTATCACATGACCAGTTATCATAGACCATGATATTTAGTATGAACACTATCCAAAAATATAATGTTTCTCTGTCTTTCTTCTACTTCATAATCAAAAAAAAAATGACTATAACACTACATATTTTTTTTGTTTCTGCTTCGTTTTTTCTCTCATCTAGAATAATAGTTATTCGTTTTCTGATTTAATAGCATTATCGTGGATATATAAAAAGATTCGAGAAAAACCCTAAACGAGAGACGAAGAAGAGTACCTCATTTCCTAATATAAATAAACTATCTTTGCATAGATATTACTTCTACTAGATTTTGTGTTGTAAAAATTCTTTATTATATTTGCATATATTTATCAATGAACTTCTATCTTTCATGATTCGTTATCCCTCACAATATACGCTACTAATTCGGTTTAGTTTTGTAACAGAAATACAAATTCTTCATTTCTCTTACTTAGAACTAGTCAAAATGACAGAGAAAGAGAAAGAAAAAAATTGCGCAAGTAGATCCCCAATAGATAGAGAGAAATTTTTTTTTGGATTAGAATAATTATGAAAAAAAAAACTATTTAAACTGCAGATAAAGAAATCCATACGGAATTTTTAACCGATTATTTCTGTTCAACCACCTCTTTCTGAGGTTATGATTAGTTGATTATTTTCAATAGACCGTTTTAAATTTTGTTTATTAATCAAATCATTGCTTAACATACCAATCACAATGTTCACAGTCATATACCGCTGCTATAAGATTCAATGTTCTGAGTGTCGTATGTGTAAAAATGAAAAATGAGCACAGAAAAAGACGCATACGGATAAAACTTTCAGTTGATTGAAGAGTCCACAAATGACTCCTAACGGTGTGCCATATATACTGTTCATCGAATTTGCTTTGAACAATTTTGATAAGGTAAATGTATCCAAATAAGTTAATGACTACGGCAAAAATCAATCAGTGGCACTATAACTGGAGTGAATTCTTGAACTACTTCTAAAGATGTTAGAGATTATAATTGATAAATCAAAGTTTCTGACTATGTTGAATAGAAATGAGTAGAAGACATTGCTATCGAGTAAAAAATGTCATAAATGAGACTCCTCATAGTTAGTAAGTTCTATATTGAAAAAATTCATCACTATATGTCCTTTCTTCTAATCATGTTGTTCATTTTTCATTTTTACACACACGATGAAATCAAATTTATTGGTGTTAAACTCTGTCTAAATTCTGTTAGATGTTTAAGGCTTATGCTAAAGGCAAGATAACAGTTATCGTTTTATTATGTAATAATTATAACACCTATAATGGTAGTAGCAAGGTCAGCATATATATTCTTTCAGTTCAGATAGAAAAAAGCGAATAAATCAGAGTACCAAAAAAAGAGCAAATATCATTATCACTTTTTCTCACGGCAAAAGCAATCATGAAAGAGCTTTTTGGTTAATTATGACAAGTTAACAATTATCGAATTAGATGAAAAAAAGAAAGATCAATGCACAGCTATGAATAACAATCCATTTTCTTCTGAGTGGTTTATTAACTAATAAATTATTTCGAAATAAATTACAGATCAACAAGTAACATAGACTAATCTTATTCTTATTTTCTCTAAACGGATAAATAATAAGTCTGATTTTTTGGTCAGATTGCCTGTACAATAAAAAAAGATTTGGTTCAAACTTTCCCACATTGTAGAGGATACTTCAGAATATATATGAAAAGAGTTTGAAGGTTTACGGACTTATAGTTTCTAGAAAGTTTTCTTTTAAATTTTTTATTCATTTTTTAAAATTTAAATAAAATTTTTATTGTTCAGTTTGAAAACTCGATTTTGTAACCAATCGATAGAGCGCCTCGAGATGTATATGTGAAAAGATTGTCTTTGTTCCCGGACAAGGTTTGAATTTGACCTTGAGAGTGGGTTTTGGGGGCGAAAAGTGTGCTCTTCGAGATCTTGCCTGCAGTTTCTGTGCGGGGAACCATTTTGGAGCGGTAGTCTGAGTATAAAAGTAGTTTATCATGCTTTTTTCTATAGGATACTACTTAGCTGTCGCTAAATTTCTTAATGTCAATCTTTAAAATCGAAAATACTGAGTTGCTGCACTGCGGAGAAAAGACGCTCAAATTTTGACGATACTTTCTCTTTTCTCCTGAGCAAGAAAATCTGAAACTCATAGAACATAGACACGTCCACGTACAGAATCGAATGGAAGTGTCAAAAAACGAAAAAAATAAAGATTTTCAGGGCCCCCATAGTGAAAGTTGTTCAGAATGCAATTCTGCTCCAGGCTACATGAAATTTGACTTTGTTGCTTTTAAATGAAAAGATGCAAATTTTTTTAAGTTCAAATTCTACTAAATTTCGATTTAAAAATCGTTCAAGTCAAATTTCACGTAGCCTGGTGCAGAATTGGAAGAACTTCTACTACGGGTTCTTTGTTCGCAAAAATCAACTGAGGCCGGAATGCTTGGCAAAGTTTTCACAAATTACTTTTAGCCCAAAAAACTTATAAAAATTATTTTCTCGGCGAAATCTTAATAGAAGTCCACCAAAAGTTCAGGATATATACAATCTGAGATGTCCTTTCGAACTGGGCAAGAATCCGGGTTACAGCTTGAAAGCTGAATTTTTGAGCAACTTTTACAAAAATGGGACAAAATTGTCGATATTCCACGAAAAACCTTTCCCCCTAAAGATTTGCAATCTGATCCTGGAAAAAAGTTCAGGATGCAAACATTTCAAAGTGTCCTCTACAAGCTGCTACACTTATCTCATGAAATGATGCCCCCCATTAATCTTGCATATTCGTTTTTTTTCTAATCATTTTTTGTGATCAAGCTATATTCAAATTCAGTAGCAGTAGCATCCTCGCATTTAAAATTACTTAATATTAGAGTAACTACAGCACGTCGGAAACAAAATACTGATATAAATAGGTCTATCACAAAGAGGTCAGGATTAGACGGGATTTCACGAAATCTGCATGTAAACTATTCAAAACACAAGAAACGTTTTTAAAATCCACATGGGAAAAAATGGAAACTATTTCGGGTTGAGATCTACACTCCTCTCGAATCGAACTGTTATTTAAATATAAAAGTGTCGTCCAATCAATTTGTGTTCCAAATCAAATGAAAAAGTGCTACTTTTATAAGGTCACGTACCAGACCAAGAGCATTAATAGCAGAGCGTATTTATAATTAAAATACTTTAGTAGACGAAATACGTCGTTACAGATGTCTCTAGATTTCGTAAGAATCAAAAAATAATTATTCAGAACTAAGGACTCTTACTGCTTCTTTATTCAATACAAATTGTAACGTCAAAAAGTAAGTATAAAACGCGCGATCTAACACAAGAACGAGAAAAATTAAACATTTCTCTACAGAATGAAAAATGTCTCGGGTTTGAACGTTGGTTCGTTATGAAAATACAAACAACCCCAAAAATCGATTTTTAGGCTATCTAAAAGTTTAGCTGGACAAGTCGTCTGGTCATTCAGAAATCACATGAAAATCGATTTTCATTTGTAATTTTTGTTATCAGTCTGATTAATAGAAATGTGCCCTTTCTCGTTTACGTTCAAAATAATTTACTAGGAAAAAGTCATTCTCTTTGTGGAGAATTTGTTCGGTGTAGTGAATAGAGGCCGAATCGAGTCAAATGAGTTTGACCCGAATCTGACCTAAAATTTTTTCCTTGATCCGAAAAATGTTTGAAAATATTTTTTTCGTGCCCAAGAAAAGGGAGGTAACTTAAGATTTTTCGCAGAAAAACGTATGAAAAATTGAAAATGATCCGAAATATATTTTTATTTGACCCGTTTTGGTCTCTGATAGCAAATTTACAATAATGATATCATTATTATTTATTACTTTGTTTATTATATTGTTTTCAATTGCAAACACTTTTCTATCTCCTCAAGCTGATTTCCTACAAACACGTTCACACGATATTACGTCTTTCTTTGTATACTCTGTAATAAAACTAAACCAAGCATCTCTGGTGTTATGGTCATGAAGTTCATAAGAAGCACAACTGATGAGATTACCTACTATGAACATTTTTTGTTTTTCGTTTATATCCACAAAACTATGAAGTTAAAAAGCCAACTTACTTTTTTATACGCTTTGAAGACATTACATCTGAATGCATTATTAATACTATCTCTCGCAATAAAACTAAATATTTTCAAATCTTGACTATCGTGCGATACGTAGAATACTCTAAATAAGAAAAAAAGGCAGCTTTAATTACAAAAAATTCATTGATTCAAGTTTTGAAAGTAACATACCGATATATTGGATAATGCATTATCATCAATTTACTTTCATCAAACAAAGAACTTTTCTAAACAGAAAAAAACAATATATTTAAGATCAATCTACAACGTTGACCAAACATACCCTTTTCTTTTTCCATAATGAAACTTTGATACCTTCAACTGATACGGTCAAATTAACTTTACGTTTTTTCACACTTTTTGCTTTGAATTCGTACTAAAATTACAATTCTATTAGTTAACCAATAAAATAGAGCTTAAATAAACGATTATAGAACAGAAAATACCGAAACCTGAATTGACTCAACTATGAAACTCTTTACACATTCTAAGATGTTTAATAATTACCATTAGAGAAACAAGTGAACATAAAAAAGCAGGTAAATTGTCTATTGACCACTCATTATGTTTCAAAACGTATTTGAGAACATTAAGAGAGTTAAATTAATTTCATTCCAACGCAAAATAAAACATTCATAATTATAATAAATATGTTTTGATTATGTCTTACTCTAATTCGTCGCATTGCAGCTACAATTTCCACACGGCTACTTGGTTTTGGAACATCCAATGAACCGATAAACTAAAGTAAAATAATATTAGTAAGATCGTATATTTTTATTTTGTATTACTCTACTTTGGCATCAAACTGAATGCCATGTTGAAATGCTTCGTCATTATGCAATGGTATTTTACTGTCATAGCCATCTTCGGACATTGGATCATAATCTTTTGTTTTCGATGGCATTATCAGAGATCTTGAAAAGAAAAACGAAATAAAAACTGTTAGTCATGGAGTAGGAACCGTGTGACAATAAAATGAGGGAAATACTGCTACACAACGTACTGTTTTTTGCATTATTTATTTATTTAATTTTTTTTTCTACCGCCGATCGATGCTCGAAATATCCTAGACAAAGGGAGTTATGAGCTCGTCTAATTTATTGGTCACATGTTTCATGCCCAGAGATTTATATTTAGCAAAAAGTCTAAATTTTGGCGAAAGTCTCAGGAGCTGCTACCAGTGTTTCTAATGAGAATTGCAATCAAAATGGATTGAACCACTTTGCTCTAAAGCCTAAAGTGGCACTAACCACTTTAGTGGTCTCGAATAAAGTATCAGCAAGCAGCGTTTATAAAACTGTTTTCTGCTTGGGTTCTAAAACATGGACCTTTCCAGTGTTTCTAATGAGAATTTTCAGCAGAGCGTACACAAACGTGGTAATTAATAAGATCAATCATGATGGCAAAACTAGAGAAGAAAACAAAGTGGAAATTTTAGAAAGCAAAGTGGTTCGCAACGTGGTTTTTTTTACTTTCAAAGTGGAAAACAGAGTGGATTTCATTTTTACAAAGTGGAAGACCACTTTGCTCTCACGGGGACCACTAATCATTAGAAACACTGGCTGCCACAGACAAGAGAGAGAAACGGTTAAGATACGCTAGAACTGAAAGCTAGACCTAAGTCGCTATTGTCATCATGAGTTTATGTTGGTTATGATAACTTAGGCCTATCACTAGCTTTTAGTCCTAGCCCATCTTAACCGAGAGAAACTAATAAAACAAAACACAAAGAAAAGAAGCAGGTGAATTTCTGTTGGTCGAAAACTATCAAATTGTACATTTTCTTTCCGTTATGTGTCTTAAAATTTCGATTATGACTTAAAAAATGACAAAATGATATCAAACTGCAAAAAAAAATGAGAGAAACTTTTTCTTTGGTAGAAAAATTTTCATTTTTTAAGTTATAACCAACATTTCTCCATTTTATTTGTTAGATGACAGTATTAGTCAGTAGTGCTAGTTAAGTACCATTTTTGACGTTTACTACTCTGAAAAGTTGTCCTATTACACAAAATTACGATGAGCAAAGAAGTCTGAATTAAAACTGCTCGCTTCTATGACGAGACGAACGCTATCAAAATATTATGAAACTTTATATACAGTTGTTATTGCAAAGTCTCAAAGAGTAAACGAAGTCCTAGGAGCTAGAAATAATATCTTCTGCCAATTTAGGCAACAGAGATAACTATAATGAGCAAAATATTTTATTCTGAATGTTTCGTCTAGACAAATATGTCATTTTTTTCTATACTATATAAAAAGGAACAACATTATATTTTCTTCTTACTTGTCAAATTTCTCTCGCGATAGTTTTAACAAGTTCAACATGTGTCATTGAACATATTAGACATACATATGGATAATTGAATTCAGTTTTTGATAGCATCTACTCAAACAATAATAAAGAATATGGATCTCTAAACAAGAAATCGATATGTGGCCTACTTAATAGTAATATGCGAGGTGAGATTTTCTACGTCTCGGTCCTACCCAACCGTGTGAACATTTTTCTTTTTTTATAAACCTATTATTGTAATAAAAATCCTACATTACAACAACGCTCAAAACTCCAGTAGAAGTCGAATTCACAAAATGATCAGAAAAAAAGACTTAGAATGTTGGTGGTACTCACTCGAATTGTATCGATTATTTATTATACTAAACTATTTATGTCATGTAATTGAGCAACGATATAGAGTCGAATTTCAAGTATACTGTGAGTGAAATAAAAAAAAAATGTATGTAATAAATGAGCTAATATATAACCATATACCCACATCTATTCAACTACTCTATGCTATGGTTCATATCTTTCATATTCAAAACATATCTATTTAAAAAAAAAAAAGAAGAAAGAAACTATATTTTGTTAATTTATGACTTAAATCACTTTTTAATACATATCAATGATCCATCTTTGAGCATGTGTAGTAACTCTCATTCGCCTTTCAATATTTATATCTATCTTATACTAAAAGTATCTCGCTAACGAACATGAGTTGAATACAATGACGAATCATTAAACAATTTGATATAATACATATTATGAGGGGGAACACTAATTATTTCATGAACATTTAATATTTCACGATCTATTAATAAGGGTATTAACCTTTGCACAAAATTTGAAATTGACTAATTAAGTAAGTTTAACAATTAGGATATTGGCTACTGTACCGCTGAAAATTGATATTTGTAATACAGTGTATGTGACTATTTTAGTTTAATGATGAAGTGCTAATAATCAAAAAAAAAAAAAATCCTCCCTATCTTCAGATATAATAAGATAATTTATAAAAATTACCACACAATCATCGAGTTTTAGAAATTACCTGTATTGACTGACTACGTTAAAACGTGAACAAAAAAGTTCAAGAATTAATAACCATGTACAGAAATGTCAAGGAAAAAAATGAAGTTTATGCAGAGTCAGAGAAAAAAGTACTTTTTCATATTCAATACACTCGATAACCCAGAAGATTATCGATTTTCGGCGAGATGTAGTATCAAAAGTTTAGAAATAATTTTCAAAAAAATTGTGAAAACAAAAATTCCATAGGAAAATAATATTAATTTTAAAATTTTTCGTAAGTTTTGACAATACATCTCATTGAAAATAGATAATCTATTGGGTTATCGATTGTGTTGAATATGAAAAAAAAGCACTTTTCTGTGACTGTGCATGAACTTTATTTTTCTGTCGGTGATATGGATGAGTTTTTTTTTAGTATTGAGCAAATAAATATTGCGTTGATTTGGTGTATTTGTTTCTTTATCCCCACAGCGGAAGTAAAAGATATATGCACAATAAAAGGAAAGAAATTAAACATGATATAAAAAAAAAAAGAAAGAAAAGTCATCGTCTCATGCGTATTTGATTAAATACACATATCTATGTGCTCTCAAAAGTAACAACTACTACTATCGTTTTTATTTGATATTCAATCATGTTTAGAACCATTACCAATAGTAATAAGCGTTTTTCTATGACATAATATTCATGTGTAATTCTCTGAATGATCTCGTGTTTTTTTTTCTTTGAACAATATGAAACCATAGAAAAAATTTCTTCGCTTTTATTAACACAGTTTTGTTCTAAAATAGAATAATTTCTAAAAAAATATCGGAAGTACAGTTTTCTTGATACTGATTTGAGAGAAAAAGTTTGAATCATCAAATAGACTTATCAAAATCAAAATATTACAGTAATTGATGTTCAGGCTAAATTAGCTAATAAAAAGAAAAGTTTTTCACATTTATATAGAAAGTTAGCAGTAATATAATAGTTTCACCCGATAAAAGTTAATAAGAAATATAACGTATATTTATCACTGAACATCTATGTATATTGGTAGCAATGTATATAAAAATTGATTTAGATTAGATCTAATGCGAAATATGTGATAGATTGTTTAATTTTACTATTAGGCCATATATGATCACAGAGTAAATGAGAGACGAGACGCAGATTAAGTGTACATACCAGTTGTACTATTTATTACATGATGAACAATTATTATACTATATATATACTATCTTTATATTTTATAGTTATATTGATAACTTTTGCCTACCATTCATTATTCAATACATACAAATATACACATATAGAAAGAAAAACAATCGATATAAATAGATCCAATTGAGTAGGATAAAATTAGCAATTATCACACTTACAAATCATCTTTTGTGATGCGAAAGTTTATTATTAATAGACAAAATTCTTCATCGGAAGGAACTATGTATATCTACTTCTATAAACAAAATTAGAATATAACTACGTTACTCTAGTATTCTGGCAAAGAATCAAGTGAGAATTTCCATATCAGACTACTGTATTATAGTAGAGAGAGACACACGAATGGCACAAAAATGGTGCTTCAAACAGATGTATAATGTTCATTAACTGAATTTGAAAACGAAGGATCACCAAATATCATTATAAAAATAATTTTCAAAATACGCATCTCTGTATTGAATGAAAACTACAGAGAAAACTTAATCAGTCAAATCATAAACAATCTACTAGCTTACACCATCCGACTACAGTATAAAGCTGACTTATGCTGAAAGAACATAGATGGAAGGGAGAGCAATAAATCTCATCCGACGGTGTCGACTAAAATCTCTACATTTGTACATATTATTGTATTTAGTTAGCATTAAGCAAAAAAAAATGAGAGAAAAACCGAGTCAAAATTCACCATAGTATCATTTGTCATAATGACATCATCTCGTACAGATTAGACAAACAGTGAGTGGTCAGGAAATAAATGAAAAAGAATAATCAGAGTAGGTAGATGAAAAAAATTAGAGATATTCTCTTTTACGTCTTAATGACCCGAACATTACATTCACTTCTTTTTTTAGTAGATTTCTATCGTAATATATCATCCTATTTGATAAATCCAAGCAAAGATTATGATTACCACTATTTATCGAACTTTTTTGAATAAAATTTTTGTTCTTTTCAAGTCTAGTTTCTCAGACTTACCATTTTTCTATACTAAAGTAGTATTTCTTTTCTCCTCTCTCGAAAAACATACAAGTATATTCAACACCAATAATTATAACACAAATGATGATAACTGTCAAAAAAACGGTAGAATAAAGTGCTAATTGATAATGATCAAATTTTTTTTTTTTACATGAATAAAAGATGAAACCTTCAAACTTCTTAAGAACATTTTATTACAATTCTATACATGTGGATAAGTCTAAGTTGTGCTCATTTCCGTCTATACTCAATTCTTGATTATAATTAATGGACCGCATAATCAATAAATTGTTATCTCATTCTAACAGTAAATAAAAGTCCTCACACAAAATAATTGAAAGACAACAGTAATAGAGACGTTTTATTATTATGATGATACTAATCTTACTTTTTTAGAAAAAAAAATA